TTTATTTTAAAAGTAGTTATAATTTTTGGTACTTTGCAGACCAGAATAATCAATTGGCATTCGAAAATTCTACTATTAATATTTTGAGAAAATGTATTAAATTAGTAAGGGCAGCTCTACACCTATCAATTAATAGCTCTGCAGAGTATTGAGCCTGTGATTATGTGCAATTTACTACTCGGGTCAAACTAACTCAGACTCAAGTTGCTTAGGTGTGCAGAGTATGAGTTCATCTTAGGATCGTTTGCTCACTCGATTTTCTGTGCGCCAGTTTTTGTTGTCCAGTTTACGCACTAACCATTCAATTGTGTGCTGTCCCACCCAAGCAGGTGTTTTAAGCTCTTTAAATATATTGCGGATTGTCTAATAGACTTAAAAGGTATGTTGTTACGAAATCGGTCCTTATATACCCGAGTTGCAGCCATTTAAAATATCAGTCTGAAATATCTCGGGTCTAATTTTAAAAATTAAATATCACAATTTCTCACAACCAGCAACTAACAGCTTGCGGCTGTGCAGAATCTTTGCCCTGTGTTAATTTAATAATGGGCTCAATTTAACAGAAAACTACTTTGCGTGGTCACAAGTCTTATTTAAAGCGATAAGCGCATGTGCAAATCCCTACATACATACATATTCGGCGATGCCCTCTGCCTGAGCATATTTATGTGTGTGTGTGCATACTTGTACGTACCTTTGTACGCATGTGTGTGATGATTGCCTACACAAAACAAAGCTGCGCGAGGGGAATAGCAAAAAAAGCAAAAAAGGGCACAAAGAAATTAGAACAAGACTTGTTGCTGCTCACAAAAATTCGGGAGAGCGCGACGCATATGTAGATAATGCACAAGCACGCATATACACATATACACATACATATGTACATTTGTAAATTTTTGACGATTCCCTCTGCATGTTGTCTACTTATGCATGTGTGTAATTGCTTGTAAGTTATCTACCTTCGAATGGCGCTCACTCGAGTTTTCGTGCACTTTTCGTCCACGCAGCAAAATTCCGTTTTAGTTAAATGCCAACAGTCGGGTAAAGAAGTTTAGAAATATTATTAGTGAGAATTCGCGGGTACAAACTGTCCGTGTATATATTATCCGGCTCGCACGCATCGGAATTTATAATAGACATTAACAATAATCCTATTCTAAAGTTTGCCAAAAGTGAATTCAACATTTTAAGGGTTCGGTCGATTTAAAGACTTAAACGACCTTTCGAAAACTGATACAAATTAACTGATATAAAGCATTCAAAGCTTACCATAAGATTATGAAATTTTTCTGCTTAACAAATCAAGAGAGGATGAATGAGAAGATAAAGCACTAGCAACCATAATCACATACGTACGCGCATATTTTGCGATTCTCTCTGCAGACATAAGTATGTATGTATGTATGTTTATGTGTGTGTTTTTGCAATTGATATCTACTTATGCTTGCTTGTGTATGCTTGCCTATGCGTTATCTACCTTTGAATGGCGCTCACACGATTTGCTCAACTTGCTGTCCGCCGATTTTTGTCCACTTTGCGTCTGCGCAACATAATTCTGTTTTAGTTAAATTGGAGCAGTCGACTAAAGCTGTTTAACAATATTATAAGTGAAAATTCCCAAGAAGATAAAGTCCGTATCTCTAATGGTATATGTTTTCGGACTCGCACGGGTCGGAAGAATTAATTACTTAAAAATAAATCGGAAATCAGAAATGTGATCAAAATTTTTAGAATCCGGTCGAAAAGTAAATTGTTTATCTTTTAAATATCGAACTTGAATAAACCTAACTAAAACCCATCCAAAGTTTACCAAAAAATAATGATCTCTTCATTTCGCGAAATTGTCGAGAGAGTGCAATGAATAAGAAGATAAAGCAAAAGCTCTCATATACACATGCGTACGCACTCATGCTTATACATACATATGTGGTTGCTTATGCGTTATCTACTTTTAAATTGCTCTCTTACGAATCGTGATCTTAAGATCAATTGCTTGCTCTTATTTCTGTGCGCCAAGAAACTATTTTGCATATACATATGTATGTATTTATGTATTAGGCAAAGCGAAAATACAAATATTTATGTATGTATGTATATGCGCAATGGTGTCTGGGCGAAAAAGGTGTTCTCTTCTTTTGCCTTGGTTCTATTGAACACTCAATCAATACATATTGCCTTTTAGTTATGAAAATGAAAAACCATTAAGAGCTGCTGAAATTGTGCGTTAAATGACTTGCGATAAAACTCTACGTTTACTTTACTATGTGGCGATGCCTGCTATCGTCATATTAAAAGCCATGCTTTCCTTTAATTTCCGTACATTTTTGTTTTAAACAAAGGCAACTATTAAACAAGATAAATAATGTACAATCAGGCTGCTCCTAGAATCTATTATGAGAATTTAAGAATAAAGATACGTCGTTCATATTGACTACTGTGGTCGAACTAACAGAGTGCTAAATTGTGAGTGCTTTAAGTGGACGAAAACCGGAGCACAGAAAATAAGCAAGTGATTATAATTCGAGTGAGAGCGATGCGCCCCATTAAAAAGCATACACACCCACACAAACAGGAATGCAATCAATAATTGCGTGCATTAAAGTTCTCGTCTGGTCGATCGCCTGCTCTATTTTCTGAGCGCCGATTTTATGGACTTGAGCAACTTTATTTTGTGTTAGTGTGGCCCTATTAGTCAATTGGGCATATTGCTATGCTGCGAGCTATATTCTATTAAAGCAATTGTTATTTGAGTAAGGGCAAGTGCGGAACTTGTTTTATCTATTATATAAACAAATATATTGTGTACAATCCTCAGCATGGTTAAACGAAAACACAACAAATTTACGCGAGCGGACAGACAAAAAAAAATCGACGCACAGAAAAAAAAGCAAATATTGCCTGGGCCTGTTAGCAGAAAAGAACATTTTTGTGGATGTAATACGTAAGTAAATAATGCACCAGCACGCATATACACATACTTACGTGCATATTGGACGATTATATCTGCATAAATACGTTTGGGTGTGTGTTTTTGCAATTGATATCTACTTATGCTTGCTTGTGTATGCTTGCCTATTCCTTATCTACTTTTTAATGTCGCTCACTCGAATTTACGGTTTACATTCTCAATTTGCTGCGCGCCGACTTTTGTCCACTTTGCGCCTGCGCAACATAATTATGTTATGATTAAATGCGAGCAGTCGAGTAAAGCTTGTCTGAAAATACTGAAAATAAATACCGTCCGTATCTCAAATTGTATACTTTTTGGACTGACCAAAATGTCTTTGACATAATGGTAAACTGATTGGAAGCTCTAGTTGGTTTTAAAGACTTTTACAAATCCCAAAAGATATATCGTTCCAAAATCGGACATAATTTAACCGATATAGAGACATTCGAAATCTAAAAAAAATACCAATACTTAATTTTGTATTTTACAGCAAAATCTGTCATGTACAGGAAAACATTCAGTATCGTTGGTACCTAGATTACCTTCGTTATTTCATACCATGGATATACATTCAACGCAATCTCGTTCTAAATTTTGACCAAAATGGCAATGGTGACATTGTTATTAAAAACAACATATTTTGTGTTCGTCAAAGGCTCACAAATCCTAAAAGGTACGCCTTTGCAATATCGGTCCGTTCTATTTTAGCTTACAAAAACGTATTAATTTTTTATGCTATCTTTCAGCGAATTCTGCCACGACCATGCACAGTAAAGTATTCAGTATCGTTACCTTGATGCCATATATATCCTTGGTTATTCCATTCAATGAAAAGACATTTTAAACAATGTGAATTTGTTGCCAAATCTGGATCGGTTCTGAAATCCAAATTTTTGGCGTGCTGTCGATTTTAAAGGCTTTAACGAATCCTTAAAGGTACGTCTTTCCAAAATCAAACGTAGGTAGTTATAGTTTTTAAAACTAATATATTTTTCATTTTGTATTTTTCAGCCCAATCTGCCGTGCCCATGGACAACATATAATCAACGGATAATTATGTCGTTTGTAGATCGGCGGAGTTATGTCGCTTTAAAATGACATAATCTCGCGCAGGACAACGGCAGAGCTCTGTCGTTTTCAACCGTCATATCTCCGCGCAGAATTCCTTCCAAATCATGGAGACACATTTAAGAATTTGTATTTTAAAGTTGTTTACAATCAGCATATAATCGCAAATGTTGGTACCTAGATGACCTATATATCCTTGGTGATTCCATACCATGGATATAGTCCTAGCGAGCCTAAATGACCATTTTCCTGCAAAACAAGATCATGATCCAAAAATATGTATGCTTTTTTACAGCCGCCCCCAGCAATAGCCCCGCCCCCTGGATGGTTCCTAGTTGACTATCATATCCTTGGTTATACCATACCATTGATAGAGTCCTTGAGAACCTAAAGGATCAGATCCCTGCAAAATGTGCGTTGAAATGGTCCAAAAACATGTATGCTTTTTCTTTCAGGAGCCCTTTTACATTAGCTGATGCTTTACAGCCGCCTTACAGCACTCCTTTTACATGACCTGTTATTTAAAAGAACTCATTTTAATTGAGTTACATTTTTGCAATTTTTATTAAAAGCACTCGGCGACCTTCTGGGCATTTATGTTCGCCTGGTACTTGAGCGGAATTTAGGGCAAATTTGGTACCGGCGGTGAGGGTGCCCCTTTTTACTACGTCATTTTTCGGCCGCAAAAATATAAATTGTCGACCTTCTGGGCATTTCTGTTCGCCTGGTATTTTCGGGAAATTTTAGTAAAAATTTGGGACCCAGCCGGCGACGAGGGCGCCCCTTTTGGGTATGCAATGAAATTTTTCGGCAGCTAAAAAATATTTTTTGTCGACCTTCTGGGCGTTTCTGTTCGCCTGGTATTTTGGCAGATTTTAAGAAAAATCTCGGCAGCCAGCGGTTATCAGCAGACGCGCCTGTCGGGTATGCAATGGATTTCTAAAAACCTTTAATTTTTGAATTTATAAATAAAAAAACAGGATTTTCATTTAAAATAATTCGTTTATTTTTGTTTAAATTTATAAAATAGTTTTTTATGCTTATTTTCTTAATTATTTCCTTAAAAGTGTACAAAACGAGCATAAATTAGAATTTTGGCTTATTTGTCTTAAAATAGCAATATCTGGCTTAATTAAAGTCCGATCCTGGAAAAATTTACTTTGTCCTTCGTGGAGGTCCTTAGAATTCATTGTAGTCCTTAATTTGTCAATCTGAAATGATAAAAACACATTTAAATTAAAAAAGGTAAAAAATGTATAAAAGCAGTTTATGTAACGAAAAAAGGACATAACTCGGCCATATCCTTGCAGATTTTAAAAGGACATGGTGCGTTAGGATCGTATAGACTCACTGCATCGATCTGCATCAAAAAAATGTGGGGTCATCTAAGAATCATAGGACTTGTATTTTCACTTGTAAAATTTCAGTCGCGAAGCGCACGGAAATGGGCTAAAAACACATATCCTTCAAATTTCCCAAACTACAAGGACGATCGTAATGAAATTTGGCCAGGTGGTAGTCCTAGTTAATACAATTTTTTTGACACATGGCTCCCCAGGATACGCAAGGATACGGCCGAGCTATGGCTTATTTTTTGTTTACAAAATTGTCCTTAACACTTTTTTGTCTGAAGGACTTTCGTCCTTTGGGTGGTAAATTCTTAAATGGGAGGGCGAGGACTATCTGCTGGCCAAAGGACATCCCGATAGTCCTCCAAATGGCCAAGTTAGCCCGGATATTTTCGATTTTGGCCATATTTGTGAATAACCCCCTAGGAAAAATTTTGGTGAAATCTTTTGTCGAATCCTTAAAATCGTTGAATGCCAGTCGATAGTCTTGCTCCCCACGAGTTCAAAAAGGCATATCCTTCCGATATCCTTAAGGATTTGGCCGAGTTATGGACATTTATAAAATGTCCTTTTTAGAAAATTAGCCATATTTCGGAAACGACAAGGACGATTTTGATGTCCTTTGGCCAGTTTATGGTCCTTGTTCATGCCATTTGTTTGACACAGGATTTGACAGGATTCGCAAGGATACGGCCGATTTATGGCTTTGTTAATTTACGAAATACTTATACTCGTCGCTAAGCTATCTGAAGGACCTTCGAACTTATTATTGTATATTCTGAATCGGGAGGATAAGGAGTATCGATTGGTCAAAAGAGATCATTATCCGCGAGGATAGCCTTGTTTCTTTTCAGACAAAAATCTCTTTTCCACAGCTCCTTGAAGGACTTTCGTCCTTTTTATTACATATTCTAAGTTGGCAGGACACGGTCTGCATGTTGGCCAAAGGTCATCAGGATGGTCCTTAAGGTGGCCAAGTTATGGCCAATTTGCTTGCAAATGTCCTTTTAAAAAAAAATTGCCATATCTCGGAAACTGTAAAGTCGATTTGTATGTCCCTTGACCAGATTATAGTCCTTGTTTAAACGAGTCGTTGGATACAGGACTCGTCAGGATACGCAAGGATATGACCGATCAACAGCATTCGTTCTTTACAGATAAATTACTCTTTTCTCAGCTGCTTAAAGGCAAGGCAAGCCCTGCATGTTGGCCAAAGGACATCAGGATTCTGCTTGAAATGGCCTATTTGTGGCCGATTTGGTTATTAATGCCCTTTTTGATATATGCAGCCATGTCTCGAAAAGCCCAACCACGACTTTGATACCCTTTGCACAGTTGGTACCCCTGGTCTTTACGAATTGTTTAATACAGAAATCGGCAGGATACAAAAAAAAAATAACCGAGCTTTGGCCTATTTTCTGTAAAGACTTTCGTCCTGTTCGATGTATATTTTAAATTGGCGGGAAAGAGACTGTCTATTGCTCAAAAGACATACAACTTTTTTTCGAACGTGTCAAATTGTGGCCAATTTTGTGTTTAAACAACAACTTTCTAATCGTGATCAAGATGTCCTTTGGTCAAATACTAGCGTTATTCAATTCGAGTCTTTTGACAAAGAACAGTTTGGGAATTGCAAGATTACAATAATGTCCTTTGACAAAACAATGATACTCAGAGAAGACATACCTAGTGTGAATTCCAGCAGAGGGCGTGGCAGCAGCAGAGTCGTCCGCACATGAAACCTACGTAGTCGCAGCACGTAGTCCAGAGTTTGCTTCAGGCTGCACAATAGAATTGCGATCACGTAAATACACGGAGATCCTTGGAAGACGTGCAACAAATGCGCTCAGATTAAGCCTCTAAAAAAGCATCAGGCACCTTCGAATTGTTGTTAAGCTGTTGTCCCAAAATCGCCTGAAATGATTGGATAAGGTATTTTGAACAGAAAGACCTTAAGCTTATCTTCTTACCTCGTATCACAGAGAGCAACCTGATGTGCTATAGCACCCCATCACATTAATAGTCCAGTCTACTTAAAAGATAGCTGCCTTCCTGATCTCCAGATACAGAACAAAAGAAACATTGTTCATCCACTTGGGTTTCGTAATGCGCACACGTGCTCCATATCCACAGAGCTGCATTGCATAGAAGTGCAAAGATATTCACATTAGAAAATTACCACGAAAATCGATACATATCGATTATAAAGGCAATCAAACAAATGCAGTTTAATACAGAATTGCGACTGGTCAAATATGAAGATAATATCTTGACTAGTTAAGATTCGATTGGAATTTTATATAAAATTTTCCACTTTATTCCATGGAGATAATTTTAAATGTATATAGAACAGCTTAGTTCTATTATATGTTGAAACTACTTCACTAGAGTTTATCGGTTGATTGCAGATTTGTGCGAAAGTATTTTATATAAAAAATCCGATATAAAGTAGCCAAAAAGGTCATGACCCTAGCAAGTACACAAATTTCTTGGAACTGCGTCTAAGGTCAGAAATGTGTGCGTTCGCGAAAAAATTATCTATTCAACTTCAGCTACATCCAAAGCGTAACTTAATCTATACGAGGAACCAGCCCAAATCCAAACATAAATTCATCAATTTAATAGCTATAAAAAAAATAAAATAAATAAAAAAACCTAAGCTTAGCAATAAAAGTAATTCTAATCGTCAGCAAAAATGTGTGGGCGGGGTGGGGCAAGAGCAATGCGGCATGTGAACTAAGAACGGAAGTGAGGAAAGCCAAGACATTGACCTCAAACATATCACGCAGGTGGCGGCGTTGACGTACATTGACCCTTGCTAAACATACACACAAACGGGAGAGAGTATGGGAGAGTGGGATATAGATCCAGGGTGCGAGCATGGGCATGGCAAGATTAATAGCAGCAGCAGCGAGTTGAACGAACCCGCGAAGCGGAAAGCGGAAACGCCTACGCAGCCAACAATCGGACTAGGACTAGGATTACATAATGGCTGCAGAAACAATATGGCGTCTTAGTTTGGGTTAGGCCCGCGCAAGCTGGCCAGTGTTGCGCAAGGGAGCCAAGTGACAACAGGAAGTTAACCTTGAAGTTTAGCAAGCGAAGCAGAAGCAGAAACAGAAACCGAAACCAAAACAACAACAATAACAAAAGGCAAAGCTCCAACTGCGCATCCAACGGAGCATCCGAGCCAATGCCCCGGACAGGCAAAGGCACCTAACACGACTCTACGACTCTGCCCCGTCTCCAAATTATTCCAACCCACACCGTTGCCCCGGACACGTGTTGGAAGTGCGTCAGTTTACGCGTGGGCGTAGGGCGAACTCTGCGGAGATGCCGGGGGTAATCGTTTGCCTGCCGGAAGCTTTCGCATTTTGTTGCTGGAACCGGAAGCTGGCAAGCAAAGCCGGAGACAAATGCGCCCCGCAAAAACATTTCAAGGGTGACTTTTTGCTTGGCAGCAAACAAGAAGACACTGGCGAATTGTGGAGCTGCGAAGCGGGCCAGGCATAAGTTCAGGGCAAACACTTGACATTGAATCGATAAAAGGTTCAGATATCCAAAAAATAATACTTGCAAAATGTGCACAGCTTTGCTTTGCAGTAAATCCGAGAGAGATATGAGAGGTGAGATATGAACTCAAGACGTTGTAACCGATATGAACGATATTGCTGGAATTAAACATTGCCTTACAAGCTACCCAATATAATAAACCAGCTGATAATAAATTAAAAACGAATTGTAAATTGTATATAGAAAGAGAATAGAAATTTCCTTTTCACTATTTTCCTTTACATACAAATATGTACTTTTTAACAGCAGGAAGATTCTTAGCCACATGATAACCTTCATGTCAAACCACCTGGTAAATCTAATGCTTACGAAAAAATTTGATGTGGGTTGTCAAGAAGTCTTGATTTCTTGTGGCGTTTATTTTCCCGTATTGCCTGACTTTTTGAACCTTTTCAGCTCTACGGTAAACAAACTAACAGGGCAGCTTATCAGGGAATATGTAGATGGAATGGCTGCCAGGGTGGCCATAAAGAGCAATGCTTCATAAACAAGCGTTAGCTCTGACCTACGCTGCGCAGAGTTGATTAGCCGAGTTGCCGCAGGGCGCAAGGAGCAACATTCTCGTACATTCCGAGCATTTTTAACGCCGCGGAAACGAGCTACGAACTTCATTCACAAAAGTGTTTCACATAAATTTGGGCCTGGTTTTCTGGCTAACGGCAAGGCAGAACTGGAAGGCACTTTTACGAGGCGGCTAACAAATTGCGTGTTAGGCAAGCCTGGCAAGAGGGGGAGGGGCATGCGTATGCAGCGTGTGGCAAGAGACTTTCAAAAAAAAAAAAAATAAATAAAGCAAATGCCAGCCACACGCGCTGCCGTGTTGTATGCTATAGAAAAGCCCGCGCCTTTTTCACGCACGTGGAGAGCGTCTTTCAGTTTCCTGGAAAATGCTCGCATTATTCTAAATGCAAATTGAATTTGCGTGGCGCGAATTGTAGGCCCTCTGGGAAGGAGGTAGAGGCAGGGAATGATAGCGACAACAATAGAGATGACGCACTTGGGTTTGTTAATGTAACAGGCGCCAAAGCAAATGGCCGAAATGCCAAATGAAATGCGCAACAGAAATCAAGAGAAAGAGAGAGACAGAGAACGAGTGCGGGTGCGAGAGAGAGCGAAAAGCTTTTGCCGACTAAAACAAAATTTGTGAAATGGCAACAAACTTGCGGCTTTTGCGTGGCCTTGCCAGAGAGCGCAAAGCTTCAAGCGCGCAAAGTTGAAGCGCGTGCAATGCCAAGGCGAAAGTTCGAGCAATGTCACAGAAGTACAGTCAACCAACGGCGCTGGACAAAGCTTTCGAGCTGGAGAGCACAAGACACTCCCCTAGGCAGGCGAAAGCTTGCGAGAGAGAGACAAGGAGAGAGCTTTTTAGGGGTACTTACCCCAAGGCTTAACAAAATGCCGTTATTATTTAGCGTCAATCAACGTTAAATGCCCTTCAGCGTGGCGGCGCGAGCGAGACGGCGATAAGAAGCAGGCGAACATTTCCATAGCCAGCGCGTAGGCGCTTGAACATTCAAGGACTCGGCCACTATAGAACGCGGCAAGGTTAACGTAAAAGCACAGCGCGAAAGAGACAGCACGACTGGCAACAGCGAGACCAGAGAGAGCTGCCACCTCGCGTTGCCTTAGCAACGGTGAAGTTCAAGGTTAAAGCTGAAGGATTTCTCGCGCTGACACTGCCAATGCCCCCTCACATGCACCGCACCGTGTTTAGCCCACACGTGGCCATGCCGTGTGACTGGGAAGCAGAAGCTTTCTCTCTCTCTCTCTCACTCCCCCTCTCTCGTTCTGTCTCCATTTATTCTTTTCATACTTAGCGGCACATGGAGCTGCCTGTTGTTTGGCTGGACCCGGTCCTTTCTGCTACACCTGCAGCACGGCAGCCTTGAGCTTCTATATGCCACATGCCTGCTGCCTGCTGCCTGTCACTGTCATCCCCCCCTCCCCGCTAAACACGGGTCGACTGTTGATTACATTGCGGCGCGTGACTTTGATTTGATTTTTAAATGATTCCTCGCTTTTCCATGCTCTCTCCCAACCACTCCCTCTCTCTCCATCTCCCTCTCCCTCTCCATCTCTCTCTCTTCTCAGCCGCCCTTTGAAATTGGAGGCTGTTAGCCCACGCACAAAATTGCCGAACGGTATATTCGTTAAAGGTCAACAAAAGGACGATACTTTCAGGTGGCTTATTATCACCAAGTCGAACGCCAACAAAGCTGCATTGAGCCACGTGTCGTCGTCGAAGTTTGTTTTATTAACTTATCAACCTCTCCAGGAGGTAGGGCAGTAGGACATCAAGTAACTGACAGGCTTATGAGATTTTCTACTTGAGCAGGGAAATTCTTCATACATCGCGGTGATTGAAAATAGCTGCCAAAGGTCCTTACAATCACATCGGCTCGTGGCCAGCGTTAAATATATTTTCAATAAACATATTGAGTAACAAACAACTTGTTTAAAGTTTAGCTACATCAAGTTAATTCGGCTTTTAGTATTTTCTAAGCTGAAGGCCATAAAATCCATTGGTATTCATTAAAATAGAATAAAGTTGAGTTGACAAGAGGATAAGAAGTAGCAATTAAACTTGAGTTCAATTAGCATTTAAGGCGAAAGAAAAATAGTTGTCGAGTTGGTTGACAAAAGGATAAGAAGTGGAAATTTAACTTGAATTCAACTAGCATTCAAAGCGAAAAATAAATAGTTTCCCCGTTAATGACAGCAGGTTTTTCCGTTCAGGTGGCAGCTCTCAGCTATGTTTAGCCACAGCTTTGACGCAATTCAACACAAAACAAACTCAAGTTTCAATTGGAAGCAAATAAATTGCTAAAGCTCAGGCTAGAGAGGACGCTATAAATAGTCAAGCCCCAAGCCTGTCAATGGAATATAGTTTGTCCGTGAGGACCATAACAAAACGGGCATTAGTCGACCGACCGGGCGACCGGCCGGCCACATCAAATTTTATGAAAATGTCAAGGAAGCCGGGCGGCTACTCTGGCCCGGGTCTGGGCACACCCACTCTGAGGACTATAGCTACGTTCACGGCCAGGTCAGTACGTCAATGCGAAGGGGCGTGCAACAAGGCCAATGCCGCGTGAGCTCCAATGGCTGCGATGGCTGCGCTGGCTGCGATGGCTGCTCGGGTGCAATGGCAACCCTTGCGCTTGAACTTGCGCACGCGGCAGTTGCATGTGCCTCATTGAGTGGCGCTAATGCCAGTGCTGCTGTGTGGGTTTTTGACCTTCAGCATGAGCTTTTCACGCAGAGCTTATTTTTAGTAACAAGTGAGCGAGCGAGCGAGCGAGATGGATGGCATTGAGCCGTTCGTTGCATTCGAAAGGTCATTCGTTTAAGGGTGTGCGGGTTTTTGCCCAGCCTCGTTCAAGGTCGTTGCTGCAGTCACAACTGTTAGCGCAGTGGCAACAGCAGCCGCAACATGCACAGTAATTACCTAACCCGAGCCCTTGCCACGGCTCTGGCTCAACCATTTTCCGTTGGGGCGATTGTCGCATTGACATTGACGCAAATCGTTGAGGGTCAAGTGCATGGTCGTGGCTTTGTTGTCGTAATAAGACTGAATCAAATTAGTTGGGCGGCCAACTCACCCACCTCTGCACACCCACACAAAGGATCTCAGCTGTCAGCCAGCAACAGCAAAAGCGACACTTGAATTGAGATAATTGCATTCCCCCAAATGTGCAGCCTTATCCATGGATTTGTGCATGGTTTTTGTGTTGAAATTACGATAAAACAAAATTCGTATATAATGCCAGGCGGAGCTACAACAGTTCTCGAACAATGAGCCAACTTTGGACATTCTCCGCCGTTTAATCATCGCGTAAATGCAACAGGGCAAAAAAATTAATCGACAACGCACAAAAGTCAACAGAACTCATTTTCTATACCCTTGCATAGGTTGGGGGTATGTGAGTTTCTTATAAGGCATATTCTAGTGTAAGAAATACTACATCTTGTTCAGGTTGTAGAGCTGTGTTGCTGTTGATTTCACCTATAATGAAACTTGGCCTATATATTTTTTTAAGAGTTTGAAGAGTTTGTCCTGACTTGTAAGTAATCATTTTTATGTAAGCTTCCCTTTGGGTCGAACGTGGTTTTAAAAGTGGAGAAAACGTTGCGTGAAATACGGCAAATATAACACAAACTAGGCTTATGTCTCTGAGCGTCGGACCAGCCAGCGAGATATCGTTGGTTCAAATTCAGCGGAAAATTTCAATATTATTATTTGGTTATTTGAAAGCTACCAGATGGGCAATAGCAATTGCATATTAAACATTATGAATATGACCCGAGTGACGCCGGGTAATTTCTTTTAATGTATTCATAAACTTTAAAATTCAATTCAATTAATTGAAGATGTTTAACATTAGTCTTGGGCAATGACGCTTACTGAAAGCCATTGGAATTACTTGATTTAAGATAAGCTACTTACCACACTCCTCACTCACAAGCTGGATTCATACAATTGGCCAAAATATGATGCTGTCAGGGAATTATTGGCCAGAAAGTGGTCGCATCTAAACTTCTGTCTGTGTAATATAGATGGCCCGAAAAGCTGAAATGATAAAAAAGTAGACGTTAGTTAATTTGATAATTTGGTAACGCGCATGTGCTCTAAAATGCGGAAAAGTTTTTGGTAATAATCGAACTACTGTTCTCTATAATATGATTACGTCTACAAGGGTACTAAGGGTATTAAAATGTGGCAAAGTTTTTGGTAATACTCGAATTACTTTATTCTATAATATGATGATTACGTCTACAAGGGTATTAAATATTTGATAACACGCACTTGTACATATACGCGAACGTGCACGGCTCCAGAGCTCCATTGTACGTCACATGGGCATAATATATGAGTGTATATATGTATTGTATATATATGTATTTATTTATTTAATATCAAATGATATGCAGCGCACAATTAAAAATGTTGACGCGCGTGGCAGGCCATAGACCGAGAGACCGATCAGACGGCTGGGCATTGTACTTACTTTAGGGGTTGCGAGGGGTTGACGGCGACGAGTGACGCATACAAAGCAGAATGGCGACCATGTCGGAAAGAAGTGCTTACACGCCCTAATTAAGCGGTCAGCATACGGTTCAAGGGTGCAGAGAAGCCCGGGTCCTTGTGCGCTTTATGCATTAGGAGCATTATGCAGACCGCAGACCACGATACAAAAGGCAAGGGCTGCGGGGCTGCGGCTGCGGCTGGGTGTGGGGTAGAGGGTGAGGGTGAGGGTGAGGGGGCAGGAAATGCGTTTAATCATGTTGGTTCAGTCACTCAATTCAAGGCGAAGTGCAGGCTACTGCAAAACTGAAGCACTGTGCAAGTGGCCGGGCACAAAGAATTGGAAGTGGCATCGGAATCTCAATCTGGGAATCTCACAAGCTCCACTGACTCTGCACTCGAGGCGAGCCGAGGCGACAAAGTTCAGGGTCTGCAGCTGGCTCTTTGTCTGCATTTCTGCAAAGGAAGCAGCTAATAAGTGCAGTGTGCAAGACAAAAGACAAAAACCGAATATTGACGCCGGAAATATGTTGGCGATGCGACCCGGCGACGATCTCTTGCCAGAGTCGACTCTGCTCAATCAAGTTGTCCTTGGCTGCATTAATACTCTTGATGAGTTTTGTGTGGTCAGCGTTGGCTTTGTGTGGGCTCACCGGATGCTTAACCATATGAAAACATATTTTTGATTTGCAACTACAACTGGCACATTGAGACTTAGGAGGCCAATCTAAACTAACATTTCAATGCTTATTTGATGAAAAAATAAATTGTTTTTTTAATTGTGTGTTATCTTTTTATCAAAGTCAATTAATTTGATATTCCTTGAAATCAATTTATACCGCACTAGCTCATATATTTATCCATAGATATAAAAGTGCTTGTATAAAAATCTTTATCTGTGTTTGTATCTATATCAGTACATGTAAACGTATCTGTAAATGTATCTGTATCTGTAAATGTGTCTGTATCTATTTCTGTATCTGTATCTGTATCCGTATCTGTATTAATATCTGTGTCTGTATCTGTATATTTATCTGTATCTACACTAAAGTATATCATAATCATTAACCATTCATTGATCATAATTACATATAAATAATTTATATCCATATTTTTGACTGTTTAGTTTGCTCAGGGAATATTTAATTTGAATATTTGATAAGTCCCTTCAAATAAAAGTGCTTTATAACTTCAATGGCAATTACGTTCATGTCTTTCAAATAATAAATAGGTTCACAATCAATATTTTGAAAACATTTCTGTATCCTTAAGTTAACAGAGTAATTGATCTTGAAACATCTATTAATTAATTCAAGCTATTCGTGAATACGAAATATTCCTAACTCGAAAACTTTTCATCCAACAAAAAATCCCCTTCAGCCTTATATAAATTTCTGTTCTTTCTTACTTAACTTTGGCTGTATTTTTTTAACGAACACTTTCGTTCTTTTTCAGTGTCTGTTTTTATGCCTTAGCCTTGACATAAATATTCGGATATTTTGAAAAGCAAAATTCGCAGTTCTTCAGCGCCTGCAGAGGCTTCTTCTTTGGTGCCAGCGCTTCGCATTTCTGGGTGTGATTTACGGAGATTCCTTTGTGAATTATGCAAATGTTTGCAGTTTATTTTGATGCCGGGCACGTTACCTACCAGAATCTCAGGATATATAATATGGGCAATTATCCAAGGGCTGGGGGAAGGGAGGTCTTTGTAATTGTGCTTGGTAATGCCCCTATATTACCATATGGAGGCTCAGTGACAATCTCAATTGGAATGTGGGCGTAATCGTATCAAAACACAAAAAAAAAAAACGCAATGTCAGGCCGCAACGAGCCATTGAACTCATTTCCAGAGCTTATTAATACACATACATAGAATCGGCTGGAGAGACAAAGACAGCTATGTAAATCTGCTGGAGCTACGCGGTGTCCATTAACCGCCGGATTCCCGGAGAGAGCTATTGTTTGTTATTGCAGCTACTTGTATATTTTTAAACTCGGCGCAATTTTGATCCGTTATCGGACACTTGCCAGGTCGCTGTTTATAAGAACTTCAGCGAGAAACGAGAGTTGTCAACGCATGTTTACAAAAGTTTACAAAAGCGAGCAGACGCACAGTTTGTTGATCTTGATCTGCCCTGGTCTGGCTGCCTGGGGTCTGGGTCTGCATGGGCCAAAGCTAAACAGGAAATGCGCTGAAACGTGAGCTGCCTTGGGCAGCGTATTAAAACTCAACAACAATAAAGATCTCTGAGTCACTGGCGACCGCAGACCACCATCGCGGCGACAGGAGCCCTAAAGCCACACAGGGTCAGGGGCCGGAGCGGCAGCCAAATATTATTATGGCTAAATTTGGGCCAGACAACAGCAACACAAACAACTACACAAACTTACAACAACGTCGGGCCATGCGGCATATTTTCCACGCTCAAAATTGGGTCAAGTTTTGGTTGCCAAGCGAACTTCGCGGCAACTCCTCTGCTTAAGAGCCGATGAATTGAAGTCAAGGTGTCGGCGGCTATACAAACAGCAACAAGCGATGAGATACATAGCGCGCAGTGAAGGTTTTTCCGCACTACGCTCAGCTCTGTGGGCTATTTAGAGCGTCAGCGTCAATATTTGGATCTGGGCGTCGCCAAACAGTCGAAACAATTTCAACGCCGCGGACTGACCTTAGCTAACTATACATTTAGTCGCCGAAGGCGAAGCAATCCAAACTGCCAAGAGCTGAGCTCAGCTGATCTTTGGGTTGGGCTTTGAACTTGAACAGCCAGCAAACACAAGTTCAAATAGACAATGGAATAAATAGAGGTGCAAACAAATTGAAAAACCAAACCGAATGGTAGCAGCACTTACAAGTTTGGCACTCGCCCGCATATACAGAGTTACAGATACATTATACACTACCGGAGACAGATAAAGATATAGATACAAATGCAGATACAGATACATATTCAGATATTGATACATTTACAGATACAGAAACACACAGACAGGTACAGAACCAGATGCAGATAGTGTACAGACACAGATACAGATACAAATCCAGGTACAGATACAGATGCAGATGCATATATTGCATAGACACAGATACAGAATCAGATATACAGATACAGGTATAGATATAGATACAGATACAAATAAAATTACAGATATATAGAAGACAAAAATACAGATAAAGATACAGTGCAGACACGAAAACATTTACAGAAACAGATAGAGATAGAGATACAGATACATTTACAGATTCAAAGTCACGGTCCACAAATCGAAACCAGTTTTCCTTCAGATACGCATACTCATTGATAATCGTAGCTGTATTAAAGGCATGAAACACCGTTAGACGTGAATAAACTACATCCTCTTCCGAGATATGCCACAGAGGCACAGCCCTCGCTCGATTGTATATTTATTTTTAAATTCCGTTTTAATTCGCAACGCCCAATGACATCTGAGCGTGGACTTCGCTGTGGGGCTAAGATATCATTGACTTCCTCAAGAAATTAATCAAAATTCATAGCGAAAATCAAACATAAAATAAACTAATAAATTAACTGCTAATCAATGTTGATGGGCCGATCGAATGTGGATCGATCGCGAATCGATAAGAGTTTATGAGAAACTCGAATATGAAATACACTCCCACTCAGCAAATGTGACCTTGATCAGTTTTTGATGAACTTGGTATACGTATTCGATCGCAAACTGTATCATAGTCGTGGTTAAAAGTGATTTTAGTGAAAATATCATCTCTATTATTACAGTTATGAGTATTGCATTTATTCAAACAAAGTCTATCAAGGTCCTTGCCTGCACACCTTGAAAGGGATTAAAGCCAAGAGCCTCGATATTCAATTGTAACAATACCTCGGGCAACTAACTATCAGAGATGATTAACTTATCTATTTCTATATATATGACACCATGCTTCCTTATCTATATATTCAACCAGAAATCACATTATTTCTTTGTTAATTTATCAGCGACAAGTGACAAATGCAAAATCCATGAAATTTCTATATACTATTCGGTTGCGAAGTAGACTAGAAAATGACGAGCAAGTATATTTCTCAAATGCCAAAACGTTTTCGTATATGCACATAAATTTGTTGTATATATAAACATGCATATTATATATGTATATAAAACATTACCATAAATCCCAAAACATTTAAATGGCAAAATACTACATACATAATTCTCTCCTGAGCCAGTTTTCAGAAGCTTTGCACGTTCGACGATCTGTCTGGCGCAGTATGGAATAGCACACGCACACACACACACACACACACACACACACACACACACACACACACACACACACGTGCACACACACATTTATATATGTATATGTATACCTAACGACTGACAAATGTCTGTCGCTATAACAACAGCTTCAGTAGTCGTATAGCCTTGATCTTGGCAATATGATAACCCTAACCTTGAGCAACGTTTTGTGTTTGATTTTTGTTGTTGCCTGTATGAGAGTGTGTGTGTGTGTGTGTTCGTGTGTGTGTGTGTTGCGCATTTGTTGTTGCCGCATGTGTG